GTAAATGTATTTGTAGTATACTTAGCATGAAATAAATGTATTTCAAATACATTTTAGTATGTTTATTTTTCACTAGGTTGTTTAGATCACATGGTTGTTCTTGATTGAAGTGTGTAACATCACAATACAGTGATTTCACTTCTGCTAACCCCTTCTGTCAGTTCACTTAGCGTAGCTGATAGTCTAATCCAGTGTTTCCCAACCTTTTTTTAGTCGCGGCACCCTTTGGAAATTTTAACAAACTTGTGGCATCCTACAAAATTTTTTAGTTTTTCATGTAGGTCTAACAGTAGGGTTAAGATATTTAACTTTTTATTTTTTTTATTTTTATCAATTATCCAAATAATGTTTAGTCCTAGAAAGCTATTATTATCAGAACATGCAAGCATAACATAGCGGTTAGCGGATCAATGAATGAGAGGGCTGCGTTACCAGAGATGCCCATATACCACACCATGTTACAGCACAGTAGAGCTATTGCAGACAGAAACAATACTGTACTACATAGATGTTTCCTGTCGGCTCAATTTTTGAGTGGACTTTGCTGTTCCGATTTGCATGAACGGTATACGAGTGGAGCGTCTGAGTGGAGTGCACACGCATAGAGCGGGATAATGCGCAGAGCGTCACACCACGTGAAAGTGAAACCTGAGCGGTGAACTAATTTTCGGCAGCCTAAATTTCGATGCATCTCTAATTATTGGCGACCTCAGAAATGGATATTATATAATAGATGCTTTTTTGAACATTTTAGCAATTTAAAAATATAAAAAAAAGATTTTTTACACGGCACCCCTGCTCTCGACAGATGGCACCTCAGGGTGCCGCGGCACCCCGGTTGGGAAACACTGGTCTAATCCACAACACTGGGCACCTTTCTGACTCTAGGGATTGATTTGTGTGTCTTGTGCAACTCAAAAATCAGATTGACAAATGCATTTGTTTTTAGTGTGCAAGACTCTGTTATTCATAATGTGATTTGCCTTCAGCTGAGGAGGTAGAAGGGGTGAATACGTTTCTGAGCGATGCCACAGCGCAGTGGAAGAACCTGTCAGTGGAGGTGAGGAGCGTCCGCAGCATGCTGGAGGAAGTGATCTGCAACTGGGAGAAATACAGCAGCACAGTGGCTAGCCTGCAGGCCTGGCTGGAGGACGCTGAGAAGATGCTCAACCAGTCAGAGAGCGACAAACGGGTGCGTTGGAAAGTTTGAGACTTTCAGATGAAATGCTGTCAAATGAAAACGGTTGTGTATAAACAGTGTGAATTCTTCTGCAGGAGTTTTTCCGGAATCTTCCACACTGGATTCAGCAGCACATGGACATGAATGATGCTGGAAACTTCCTGATTGAGACGTGCGATGAGACTGTGTCTCGAGAACTGAAACAGCAGTTGCTTCTTCTCAACGGCAGATGGAGAGAGCTGTTTGTCAAAGTCAAACATGTAAGACGTGTGACGTCATGTTTAAGTGCTCATTCTACACTACACATCAAGCATTTTGTTTTTATCCCTCAAGTCAGGGTTTCTTTTACCCAACACAGTCATCATTTATTTTTTCATTGACATTCATTGACAGCGGTGTTAATTTTGACAGCAAATTTTGATTTAGTTTTAGTCATAGTCTTTTGACTAAAATGCCATTTAGTTTTAGTCATATTTTAGTCATCTAAATAGTTTTTAGTTTTAGTCTAGTTTTAGTCGACTAAATATCATAAGATTTTAGCCGACTAAATCTACAGTAAATTTAGTCGGCTAAAATCAAATGGGTTTAGTTACAGTGCATAAATTAAGCATTTCTCAAAAATGTCCAAGCTCATTATATATGTTTGATATTAAGGTTTTATCATGATAGACAACGATTTAACTGCGGTGACACACAACATGCCTTTATGTTAAAATTAAATAAAACCACTTCTCATAAAGAACAAGAACATGGTCTTCTTTTTAATGAAATACCAATGGTTATATAGGCTAATTATGCATTCTTTATAGCAACTTGTTTACCATATTCTTTCTTTCGTTGCTTGATTAACATCAATGACTCGGACAATAGCAACTAAATTAGGCTAACCGAATGCACTGCTGCGATGGATGCAATGTACTGATACACATTCTCCCTACTGTTTACATTCACTTAAGACATAATCAACTGTGTTTACGTGAATACTCGTCAAAACATTTTGTGTGTAATTCTCCATTCATGCGACGTGAAAAGAGTACTCGCGCACTGTGAGACGCGCTTTCTGTGTGTGTATGCTTCAGTGTCTGTGCTCAGAAAACCGGACCGAATTGAGTTCTCTCTTGCGTCGTCAGATTTATCCATATGTCTGCTCTTCTCTTACTCCCACATATTAACATTTTTGAACGTTTTATGTGATGTGCAGCAAGTGTATGTTAGCTTATGTCCCGACAGTTCATATGTACGCATCTAACCTCCGAACCACACAGCAGATTCGTTCTGAATGTATCTCTTCCCAAATCGTCCCTCCCTAACATTTTCGTCTCGTTTTTATTTGTTGACGAAAATGTCAATAGATTTACGTCATAGTTTTTGTCATTCAAAAAGAGTTTTAGTTTGTTATCGTCTCCTTGTCGTCGGTGAAAAAGATGTTGTTGACGAAAATTATTCGTCAACGAAATTAACACTGATTGACAGTCTGTTGCATCTGTACGTTTTATGAAATAATGTCAATATTCATATTGGTGTAAACATAATTCTGATTATATTTTTTTCTTAGTATGCAAGAGCAGATGAAGTGGACAAACTGAGAAAAGATTATGACGATGGGATCGAAGCTTTAAAGGCATTTATTGACACGGCCAACGAGAGGATGAACACTCCAGTTCAAGTTTCATTTCTGAACATACGGACATATCTACAAGACGTTGAGGTAATCAGAGTTCACAAAGCTGGTTCTCTGGAATACTTGATACTGATTGGTCAGTCGCAGCATAGACCACTTTTTTTCACTTTCTTGAATTTCCACCAGTTTTGACCAGTTGACTTTATTGACTGACTTGACAGACTACCATTCAAATGTTTGGAGCTGAAACAATTGTTTTTACTTTTACATTTACATTTAGTCATTTAGCAGACGCTTTTATCCAAAACGACTTTATAAAATTATGACATTAGAAGCAATCAAATCCAACAAAAGAGCAAGAATATGCAAGTGCTATGAGACACGTTTTTTTTTTTTTATGTTTTTGAAAACTCCTCTTATGCGCATCAAGGCTGCATTTTTTTAAATTCAAAATATATAGTTGAAACAATAAAATTGTGAAGTATTATTAACATTTTAAATATGTTTTTTTCTATTTGAATATATTTTAAAGTGTAATTTATTTATCAAAGCTGAATTTTCAGCATCATTACTCCAGTTTTCAGTGTCACATGATCCTTCAGAAATCATTCTAATATGCTGATTTGCTGCTCAAGAATCATTTCTTATTATTATCAATGTTGAAAACAGTTGTGCTGCTTAATATTTTTGTGGAATGCGAGATAAATTTTCAGTATTTTCAGTATTTTTGATTAATAGAAAGTGCAAAAGAACAGCATTTTTTAAAATAGAAATCTTTTGTAACATTATAAATGTCTTTACTGCCACTTTTGATCAGTTTCCTTGCTGATTTAATTAATTTCTTTAAAAAAAAAATCTTACTGACACATACTGTACATACTGTAATATGTGAATTTGTACAATTATCCATTCAGTTTATATAAAAAAATGTATGATGTTTATTGATGCATCAGCTAGAGATTATATAAAACTAATTTCTCACAGGACATCAAGCACAAAGTGCCATCCATGGAGGCGTCGTACAAGACGGCCACACGTAACGCGCAGCAGCTGACCAAAGACCTCACTGAGGAGGAGATCGCACAGATGCTGGCTACCATGGCAGCCATCAAGGATGAGCTCAGAAAGGTGCCTGCCCTGTATTTTCCCCCATGAACTTCCACATTAAACCGTAATCACACCGTCTCACATTATGACCTCAATGTCTCGTTTAGATAAGAGAAAGAGCTCTGCCCCTGCTGAGGGACTCCCAGGCCATGCTGCCTCCTTTAGAGGAGATGGAGAAACATATCACTGGGTTCTACCAGTCGCTGGAGAAGGCGAGCCGCATCACTTCCTCCCGGGACTCCGAGGCTCCAGGAGACTTCAAGCAGAAGTGTCAGGTGACTAAAGGACTATGGGTTGCACTCAAGGGTGACGTGACAATGAGATTTTAGGGTTATGATAATGTTAGCTCCATGAATGATGATTTTAAAAATAATTATAATATAATATATCATTCAATACTGAAATACAGCAGTTAACTAAAACTAAAGCCATGAAATTACTTGAAATAAAATGCATATATATATATATTAGTGCTGTCAAACGATTAATTACGATTAATCGCATCCAAAATAAAAGTTTTTGTTTACATAATATATGTGTGTGTACTGTGTATATTTATTATGTATATATAAATAAACACACATGCATGTATATATTTCAGAAAAATATGTTATTTTTATATATTAAATATATTTATGTATAATATAAATTATGTGAATATAAATATAGAGATGTAAATACATGTAAAAATTTTCTAAATATGTATACTGTATGTGTGTGTATTTATATAATTTAATTGATAATTTATGCATTTATATATACATAATAAATATGCACAGAACACACACATGTATTATGCAAACAAAAACTTGTATTTTGGATGCGATTAATCGTTTGACAGCACTAGTTAAATCTAAGCTTTAGAAAATATGAAATGAATATCCATTTTAATACTGTATACATTATAACATTTTGATGCCTAAGTTAACTTTTTAATTTATTTACACAAGAGTGTAGAATTTACATTGGCAGTCACTGGCCAAAACCCTGAAATGTTTTTGTCTATTAGACCAAACAGGCGACCTGAGGACACACACACACACACACACACACACACACATACATATGTATATAAAAAACAATTTCAGCCAAGGCATTCATTTAATTTAACTTGATGCATTAAAAAAACTAAAAGACTGAAACATAATATAACAAATAAAATATTATATTAAATAAAAATAAAATAAATACATTTAGAAATAACAAATTAAAAAATATTTCATATATACTTTATATTTTAAAAATACAAACATTTTATATGAAAATAGAAAAATAGAAAAAAACTAATTCAAAATATGAATAAAAACTATAATAGTATCTCAATATAACTAAAATGACACTGGTTAAAACTCTTCTATGTAATTAAAACATTTTGCTTAACCTTTGTGTCAAGTCAAAATGTTTATTCAGGAGTCCAAATATTTTAGGGTATGATGAAAATTGTCCAATAGTTTTGGTCCCAAAATTGTTTTGTGTGGTTTTATGATTTTAAGGTTTTATGAACACACAATATTTAAAAATGTATTTGCCATTAATTCTCTCTCTTTGTATTTTCTCTATTTACACAATCATCAGGAGCTGGTGACCTATCAGCAGAGCTGTAAAAAGTGTCTGTCAGTGATTGATAAAAACCATCAGATCATTCTGACATCACTGGACACCAGCAAGAACCTAAAACACCTGGACACGTCACTGTTAGAGAGGAGAATCTCAGAGCTTCAGGCCTCTTCACAGGTGAGGAAGAGCAACGTCATGTCTTCTATGCATGTTTGATGTTAAAATCTATGACTAAAGATCTTGGTAAATCAGAGCACAGTTTGAGATCTCTTCTGAAACTTTAGAGCAGATACAGAAGAACAACAATCTGAGAATCAGGAGAATTAGGCAGAATCCATTTGATCTCATTGTAGTTTGGGAGAAACAATTGTTATATGAAATAAATCCCATTTGTGATTTTTCTTTTATAAATGTTCATTGTTGTACTGTATGTTTTATCTCAAAAAGGGCATGGTAAAAGAAACCACAGAATGGAAGAGGCATGTGGAGGCGAACAGCAGCCTGATGAAGAGATTTGAGGAGTCTCGTGTGGAGCTGGAGAAGGTTCTGAAAATAGCTCGCAGCTCCATGACTGAGAGAGGAAACCCAGAGGACCTTCTGAAAAAGCACACTGTGAGAAATGAAACCCAACCGTCTATTCTAGTGCTCGGCAAATAGGCCAAAAGCAGAGTTTGAACTTTATTCGGTCTCCAGAAGGGAAATGTATTCAGAGAAATTGCAAAGCTGAAATGATTTCATAACATTTCTATTGAATGTCCTGCAGGAGTTCTTTGGGCAGCTGGATCAGAGAGTTCTCAATGCCTTTCTGAAAGCCTGTGATGAACTCACAGATATACTACCAGAGCAAGAACAGCAGAATCTGCAGGAAACAGTCAGGAAACTGCACAAACAGTGGAAGGTCAGAGAACACTTACAGCATTGCAGTCTCACCTCTCAATATAGCCATTTCTATAGCGTTTCAAAAGGTTACTAATAATTCTATTTTAAAAATCTGTTTATTTTTAGTTGTTGTTATTAAATTATTTACTTATATTTTAATAATAATAGAAATAATATTTTTAAATTGATCATGTTATTATTATTAATAATTTTTTATTGTTTTAACTGTTCATGTATATCAAACCGTTTTTAATTTATGTTGTTACAGAACAGCAACAGTTGCATAAGCAATTATATA